TGTGTAAAAATAGTACAGTAAGGAACATCACAAGATAAAGCATACTAGTTACTGTATTTAATTCACTTGCTTGCAATGTCCCATAATCCAGTAGTCAGTGCAAACCAAATCAAAGCTGTTGACTAGTAATGAGGAATAAGATAAATTAAATGTGAATCTTATGAAAGCAACGACAATGGGATTTGATGACTCTTCGAATCAGAATCAGATGAAGAATTGTCACTGCTGTGTTGGCAGTGGCGCTTCTTGTTGTAGGCTTTTGGGCTGAAGCGCTGCATGGTAACAGTGACAAGGGATCCAAGAGCACTTCCAATTGCCTGATAGGCTTTATTCCTTTCTTCCCTGCCTCTATCAGCTGCTCTCTCCCACTGAACAACAACTTGCTTCTGGTAGTCTAAACTTCTTCCTACTGAGTAAGTTCTGAATTTTCTGTTTCTTGTGATGCTTGATGGAGTGGGGGCAGGGGCGGAGGCAAATACAAGTCCTCTTCTTCTTGTCATTGTGCATTATTGTTCTTGGTGTTGTTGCTGTCATTCCTGTTACTGACATTGTTGTTGATGATGATGTTATTGCTATTGCCAGGAGCAAGATGATTAACCTCAGGATCACCATTCCAACCCTCAGGATGCACATATCCTTCTTCAATATCAAAGTGCTCCTCCCCATCTCCAATGTTCGTCTTTGCAGCAATCAAATACTTGGCCCTCTTGGCCAGTTGCACTGGTTTGGATCACCAGTAGGGATGTTTTCCTATGAAGGGATGAATACCTCCTACAGATGGAGCCAATGTCACCATTGGTATGAGGATAGTTCTGAGCATGAGGAGTTGCTTCTGCTTCATTCCACTGATCAGTCCCAATAGGAAGCCTTGCCAAGATGACATACATCAAGCCAACTGTTTCCTGAGTAGTATAGTTACTTGTTCTGGACCTCCTGCCTCCTCCAGTTGGTGCTCGCCTTTGCTGCTGTGTTAAAACCATGATGAAATTTGTGTCTGGAATTGACACCTCAAACTAGTACAAGTGATTTGCTACATTTCAAGGTACAGTTCCTCTCCAGGGTTCTGTTGACATAAGTCCATCAGGGTTCTTCCCTGTCTTTGTGAGCCTGTTAGTGAGGATGCTTGCTAGTAGATAAAAATTCCTTTCTGCCACATACTTGGGAGGTTGTACTAGCTAACTACTTTTGGTTTGCCTGGCTTTTTTTGGATTTATTTTGGCATGCTTGCTGGCACCATGTGTTCTCGATATTTTGCAAGAATGCATTTATTTTCTGTTAATTTCATGCAAACTTCCACATTCTAAATTAAGCACATGCAGTGCGCCAAATTCAAAATCTTTTTGATTCTGTGTGGTTACATACTTCTTCCTGTATACACAAATTCATAGAGTAGCATGGATTAAATGCATAAGGGAATGAGCAAATACCATATGGAAAAGAATAAGCATTTTTAGCAATTTTGTGTTTGCTATTCTCAGGAAGCTCCATCTCAGCAACCAGTCATTTTCTGACAACATCCAACATAGCCACAGATGCAGAAAAAAGAGAACCATTCCTAGTTTACATTGTCATTTTCCAGTAATGACTTGCTGTCCAGAAAATGGTTGCCAAAACAAAGAGACATATGAAATTTGGATTCCTTGAAAACACCACTTTTTATATGCATGATGTTATTTCAACTCCTCTCCTAAAGGATGGCTTGTGTGCCAAGAATGAAATTTCATGCAAAATTTCTGGATGGCATGTGCTTTTTTGTTTTTATCTGTTAGAATAGATATGCCTCAACAAAAAAGGTTTAAGTCCAAATAAAACTGGTTTTCCGTTGTACAGTATTCATCAATTAATGTCATAACTATTCGTCTTTATAAGGATTCTAGCCATACCGTTTATGGGTTGGTAGGGGTGCACATGTTCCCGAGGGATCAAAAGTCCGCATCCTTAAACTTTTCCCATCAGGAGGTACGGACACAAAATTCTTTGTCCTTTCCAGTAGTTCTCGCATTCGTAAGTAGTTACTAGCATTTACTAATAATAATGTTGTACATTCTTGATGTGATTTTATTGCTGTTGTTCGACAGGAAGAGCTACAGCTGAAGGAGACTCAAGTAAAATGCCTTCTTGCTTTTTTTGTTCTTCTTTCACATCAATATCCAGATTTTCTTCGTCTACAGACTCATCCGCTATAGTTCTTGCTAATGGGGCGTCAAAACCCGAAAAATAAGCAAACGTCAAAAACGTCACAGCAATGAGTAAAACGACGTCACCTCGTATATCACTTTCTAATCCGGGTACCCCTCGCAACAAAGTGTAGTCATTTTCTGAAGCTGCTTCGGCCAAGGGAATCAGTAACGCAGAAACCAGGTTACCGCCAATTTGTTGAACACTTTCCACTGCAGTTTCGTCCCCAGGATAAGTTACCTCAACAGCCAATTCAGCATTTATTGGCTGAATTGGGCCCGCTGCCAAACCTAATCCCAACAATGCCAACACAAGAAGAAAAGGTTCCCGTCCAAGGTAATGATCTGTTAATCCCAGAGGCAGAACCAAAAGGGCGGTGGCAGCCAGACAGTACATGGTGACTTTTTTGTATTCCTTAGTTTTGTCAACGTAGCCACCAAGGATGATCCCACCCGCGACAATAGCTAATTCAAACCCAGCACCAGCCAAATCGATTTGAAACTGTCCCGTTACACCACCGCGTTCCATTACCTCATCGATGAAAGTCTACGTGGACCAAAGTAGAAAAAGGATGACAATGTTGATCAAAATCAAAACCAGATTGATGAGGGAAGTCCATTTTTGGCTTTTAACTCCAAAATGTCTTTTCGTTGCCGACGCGTCGTCCGAAAGAACAGTTTTTAAAGCATTGACTTTCCAGCACACGAATGAAACTCACTCCTACAACGTTAGTTATGCTGATACTGCAAATAAAGGCCGCTACAGCTCGCGGGAACCCTTTCGTTGCAAAAAACTTTTGAACAGACTCCAAAAAAGGCGGTTCTTCTTCCCCTTTGATTAGTTTCTCGAGTTCGGATGAAGATGGTGGGTAGGGTGGCTCGTTTTGAAATTGCAACAGAGTACCTATCGTTACAAGAGTGGTCGTACATGCGATGATGCCGAGATAATTTTCCAGACCAACCGTGTCAGTCGCCATTCCACCTCCGACCAGAAATGCCGTAGCAATACCAATCTGATTGAAGTTTAAAGCGATGGCAGTGGAGGTGGATCGTTCGTTGTTGGCGAACCATTTTGCGCTCAGCAGCGGGGGTGTGCATTGGAAAAAAGGTTGTGCAATACCAACCAACACTGTCCCAGCAACAATGAGCGGGTAGTCAACTAAGATGTTGCCCGTTTCGACACCACCAATTCGGAATGAATCAATCGGTAAAAATCCAAAGCCTGAACGAAGCCAGCATCCAGCAGTCATGAGGACTGCAGCACCTTGAATGGCGCGCTGTAATCCAAATTTTGAAATTGTGTCCGTAACAAGGAAACTCGTAGCCACATTTGTAAATAGAAAGATGTCGATAATACTGGCCGCAGTGTGTCCAAAGTTCGATTCGAATGTCGAGGGAGCAGCAGCGACTGAAAAACAAACCCAATCGCTAAGCAACGCCAGAAGGCTTAAATATGCGAGTTGAACCCACCGTTGAGGAACGACTTGAGGTTTCATTTTAGAATAATCTATTTCAGCTGGAACTCCATTTTCTGTACCTGGTGTACCCAGAATACTTGTATCTTCATCTGCTTTTCCGTCGTCTTTTTTTTCGTTGAGCCGTACCAAATGTGTTGCTCTTGGATATAATTCTTTGTTGTTGAGTTTGAACAAGCTTATTGTAGATCTCGGTCTATATTTCTGTGAAAATTGTGCTGGTGGAGAGAAAGCAGAAGCAAGTCCAGCTCGACTCGATAGTCCCAGCACTATTATCAAGACTGTTAAGTTCGATACACCCCATGAAGTCCGAGGAACGGCGTTCGTCTGCATCTTACGAATACAATTATTACTGCAGCCCATTTGGAACTTTGTTTTCACACAATATCCTTGTCGGTATACTTTGTGGTGGAATGCTATTTTTCGAAATTGCTACTTTGAACTGCTTGTATTGAAACTGTACTAAGAATAAGTTTCGGTGTTGGGAGTTAAATTCTTGATTGATGACAGCTATTAATATTCTGACTTGGTTTTCTCGGTACGGCGATTGTTGTCGATCCCATTCACTAAGTTAATCATAACTGTGCGGGATTGTCAGCTTTTTACGTCCGTCCCTTAAAATCAACCGTAAGGCTAAATGAGTACGTAGTCGCACGTACTTGTACTGCCGAGAATTTGGCACGTTGAAACTGAAAGTCCAAAATCCTCCGATCTCAGGACAAAATTCTGTTTTGAGATGCTGTTCTGATGACACGAATTCAAAATGCAAGCACTACGGCAATACGATATTTACCGTTATCATGAGTAGTACTCGAACGACTACGCTGGAGTACGGTACGTAGGTACTTGCGAGTATGGTTCTCTATTCAATATTGGAATGCGACGGACAGCCCTCCGCCGAATAGCTTTTCGTCCACACCCGGCGGCATGACAGAAATAATACTACGAAGTACGTACGGTACTGTACTTCTAACTCATATTTCCGTCCTACTAGTATTTTGTACTGAACGCATTATTTTTTGAAGTGTCGGGCGCTGACGTAAGGGTTGTGACTGAGATAGTTGAGTCGTGAATTTCCAACCTCTGAAATCTCAAGAAATAAACCGCGGTGCTACGGAACGGTACGTACACGTAGGGTACTAGTCAAATGCAACTAAAGTTGCATTCTCATTATTGGTGCGAAGGCTATGCCCAAATGTACTACATAGGCCCTAACCCCCAAATTGACCGGTACCATACTTGGTACCACTACTTTTGCACATGTAATGACTGTTTTGTGTGCAAAATTAACAGGCAAAACCAGTACTGCATGTTTCCGGGGGGGGGTTGTTACTTTGCCTCTGAGGTGCATTTGCATCTGTTGAGTTTACACTGTATTGCAACGATTTGCAACAACATTCATCACAAATCATCCAACTGCTTAAGCAAAGACCACATTAATTTTCGTCCTTTGTCCCTTTGTGTTTAAAACTTGAGTTTACTCGTGTCAGCACTAAAAACACCACTGTAAAACGCAACAAGAAGCAATACGACGGCAACTAACAATGGCACCTCCTCCTCCAGCACCAGCAGCACAGCAAGAAGAAGAACAAGCAACTAGTACATTTGAACACGGAGGCAAGATAAGCAGAACAGTTGCAATTGCAGCACTTGAAACAGCTGATCAGCAGGAAGAGGCAGCAGCAGCAGGAGGAGCAGCAACAACAACAAGAACAACAAGACGCCATGTTGGAGCACCAGCGAGACGCTTAGGAGCAGCAAGACAGCCACCACCACATGGAGGACGCCGCKGAGGTGCTGGAGAAAGACGCACAGCTGAGGGTCATGGATGTGGATGATCTGGATGCAGAGGAGCTGGACGCGGAGGATCTGGATGCGGAGGATCTGGACATGGAGGAGCTGGACACAGAGCACCACCAGCAGTCGGCGCTGAAGCAAATGGAGTTGGCGCCACCAACAACAATGAAGCAAATGGGAAAGCACAGGCAACGGATGTTGTTGTGGAGGACGTTGTTGCAGAGGACGTTGTTGCCAATGTTAATGATGGAGACGTTAATGACGATGGAGACAATGCCAATGATAACAACACCACTGCCAGTGCCAGTACAACAGCAGAAAGACCAAGTAAAGGAACTTCTACTCGCCCATCAGGAGTGAATGTTCCTGATCAGTGGAAGAGATATCTCAAATATTTCCTTGATTTCATGGATTATGTGCATGGGAGGAGAGATGGTTATTATGACACTCCAAGGACTGCTGATACAAGATTCCATTGGGATCATGTGTTTAGCGCTGAGGATCTCGCAGATATTACCCCCAATCATGTGTATCGATTCTTGGCACTGAAATGTTATAGGAAAGAAGATCCAGGCCCAGATGATAATCCTATATTTGAAAGGTCTACAACTATTGCTTATGCAAAGAAGGGGATATCCTATTATCTCCCCAACAAGACTATCAAGTGGACTGTGATTCAAGGTGTAGGGCATGGTAATCGAACGCAGTCTCAAGAGGTGAATAATCTTATTGCTGCAGTTAAGTTGAAGGAAACTAGAGGTCTTGGTGTTGAGATGAAGATGGATAGACCATTGACTAAGAGTGAATTTTTGCAGGCAGTTGACCTTATACTATCACAGGAGACTGGTACTGTCATAGATAAGAAGAGGTATTTAGCAATGATGTTGACACAGATGCATTTCATGGCTCGCAATGATGATATGGCTCATATCACTAAGGATTCCTTGAAGAGTTGCCCTCAGTTTCCTGATTTTCTGACACTGAAAATGAAGTGGTCCAAAAATGTGAKGGAGGACCGYGAYTGCCCTGATCAGATACTATTGGGTTCTATGRATGAAAAAACATGTGCTGTCCTAGCTTTAGCATTGTTTTTGGAGAAATGGTGCTATGATGGTGAGGGAGCCATTAGCCAGTGGCTTTTTACTGAAGGATTTATTGATAAAAAATCCCCAATGAAGATTATGAAGAAGGAAGTTAGTAGAGGAAAACAGCAGTATTCTAGATTTCTAAGTACTCGTGTGTGGAAAAATCGATGGTTCAACAAAGAGAAAGCCAGTAGGTTGGGTACACACTCAATCAGAAAGCATGCAGTATCACTGTGCAGGCATTGTGGTCTTCCCAAGGGCAATGTTGATTACAGAGCTCAATGGAAAGGGATTTGAAGGCAACAAGATAGGTATACGGATATGCAGCTATTATGGCCTGATATTAACGTTGCAAGGCGATTGTGTTACGGTGGTGTGTGTTTGTACAAGGTGGTGGAAGGGTMTGGGGTTACTGATAAATGGATTGTTGAAAATGTTACTCCTAATATTGTGAGTGCTTTTGGTGATGATGTAGCAGTAATCCTAGGCAAGGCATTGCTGTGGGCATGCTTTCAACCTTCTATGGTGGGTGTTGTTCCGGATGATATCAGAAGAAATGTAATTGCTTCATTTATTCATCTTAACACTAAAGTGAGAGAAAATGTTGGGGCTGGTATTGCTATTGAAAATAGGACCGCAAACCCAATTTGCAAGGTTGAAATGATTCCAAGTGAATCAGGTGGACAAATCACTTTTGATGAGCTGTTTGAACCTGAGCTAGATGAACAAGGTGCTGCTGCTGCTAATACTGGAGCTTGACATGGGCCTTTTCATGGTGGAAACAGTGCAATGGGAATGAGGAGATCACACCAACAATGGATGAATGTTATGTATGCAAAGATGCATGACTTGCAGGCCGGAATGTCAAACATGGAAAACTTGCTGATAAAGGAATTTGCTACAAGCAAAGGCACAAAAGACTGCAGGCTGCATGTAATCAGGCTGCGATGGCTCCAGTAGCCCAGAGGAGAGTGAGGTAACATCTTGTGAATCCTGGAGAAGCTGATGCTGAGGTTAAGGAGCAGAAAGCAATCCTTCAAAGAAGTCCAGGAAACTTGTATGTGATGTGGAATGAATGGGAATCTGGATTTGCTGGTAACAAACCACCAATGAACTTCACTGTAGCTGAAAGAAATTCAGAGGAAAACAAGTTTGTGTACTGCAGAAGGAAGCCTTTTTGTTTGTGGATTGAAAGATTGATGAAGAACAGAGCAGGGACTGCTCATGATGCGATAAGGGCTGTACTTGATGTGTACAGACAGGAGAAGACTGTAACACAGATTCTCAAACAACTCTGAAAGCATGAGAGGGAAGGTGGACATGCACAGTTAAGATAGTCGGTTGATTGCTTTGTTGCTTTGTTGCTTTGGTTGCTTTGGTTGCTTTGTTGCTCCTGCGCTGCTTTGGTTGCTCTAGTTGCTTCGTTGCTTTAGTTGCTTCATTGCTGCGTTGCTTAAGTTGCTTCAGTTGCTGCATTGCTTTGGTTGCTTTGGTTGCTTCAGTTGCTTTGGTTGCTGTGTTGCTGCATTGCTGCATTGCTGCGTTGTTTTCTTGTTGCTTCGTTGCTTCGGTTGCTTCGATACAGACCGGATACTCGTTGCTTGCTCGTCATTGTCGTTGTTGTTCCTTCTTACTACTTGTCCCCCTTAGTACATCGATAACACCATTAAAATAGTATGTTAACTGTGACTGCTGTTTGCTAACTGTGACTGCTTTGCTCTCTGCTATCCTCAACAAGAGGAGCAAGTTTAATAGCTGATAAGAAGATGGCGGCACCATTGTTGTGATCGTCGGTTGTCGCGAATTACCTTCATGACTTGCTTTTTTTTCTGTGGAAATTCTATGGAAATTGTCTGGTCAAAAATTGTGAGAATAATTCTTCTAAACTGACATGCATCAGTTGAGGTTTTTGATGTTGTGCTGGTCAGTAGGATATGAGCAAAGCGTATGTACGTAGAATTGTACATGATTTCCTACTGTTGCAAAATTAGTTGTATTCTTGATTGGTACCTGCAGGGTGCTGTACCCGTACCCTACGTACCGCGGTGCTATATTTTGGTACTATCTCAAAAAAATTGTAGATTTCTGATGGTACGTACTGGTGGTACCGGTAATAGTTGCAGAAATAAAAGTAGTAGTAAAAGTGGGTCATTCCTGGGCCCTCCGGAACCAGCGTGCGCATGCCCCCCCTTTGAAATCAAACATGGGGGACATGATTTTGTGTTTTTTTTTCAAATAAAATAACCCACATTAGAATCGTGGGTTATTTTTCCCATGTAATAACCATGATTCTAAAATGTGGATTCCTGGGTTAACCCATGAATAACCCACAAATTAACCCATGAAAAACCAACAAACCTGCTGGGCCTTTTTTCAAAAATTAAAAGCAGTGATTAAATAACGTTAATGACTAAAATACTTAACATCCTTGGTTCTCCATCAACCCAGATGACTGTAAATTTGTGGGTTATTTGTGGGTTATTCTGTGGGTTATTTTTCAAATTTGAAAAAACACGTTTTAGAAATGTGGGTTATTCTTCCCATGAAATAACCCATGATTCTAAAATGTGGGTTATTTTTCACCAAAAATAACCCACGTTTTTCTAGTGGAGGAATTCAAAAAGGGGGAATGTGCGCATGGGTACCGGAGGGCCCTGATATTATGATAGATGTGCT